GATGCTGGGTCGCCCGACTCGCAAGTCCTCGCGGCCACTCGCAGCGCCGGTTATCCACGTCGTCGATTTCCCAGAAGGTGTAGCCCGCAAACCTCCCGAATGTCGCTCGTTCCATGAGGTCTGGGGCGCCGCTGCTGATGAAGCCGACGATCGGAGGCCTCGCCCAGCGCATCTGGCAGGCGTCGCTCGTCCACCGCAGGGTCTTGCGGTTGCCCCGATGGCGCATGACCTTCTCGCGGCGCGCGCACAGGGACTGATCGGTTTTCCTGGTGCCTTGGGCGTCGGGCTCCAGCCTCCTGCCCACTGCAAACCACTCCCCGCTGCTGATCTTCAGAGCCCGGAGGAAGGGTCGTGGGTCGCGAGGGCGGTGCGTGGATGATGTCGCCTCCTGATCCAGGCTCCTGGCGCCCCCGAGCAGGTTCTCGTAGGCGTCGGCCCCGACGCGGGCCCCCGCGCGGCGCCCCGTGGCCGCGCGGTCCAGAACGGGGAACAATTTTAAACAGAACTGCTGCCGTGTCTACGTCAGCTTGACTCTGGGGTCGTCGCGGGCTGACTGGAGCTCGTCGGAGGTTCCGGCTGCGGCCCTCTCTCGGCGAGAACGCGCCCCGCGCGGTTCAGGCCCCCCCGGGCTCGACCGCTCGGCGGCGCCCAGGAGTCTCGGGAGAGACCGCTCTGATGCTGTTCCTTCTCTGCCAACCTTCCTCGGGGAAATGAGAAATGTGGATCGCAATGTGTTTGCCTGCCCCCACCTCGTAGACTCTCGACTGGGCGCCGTCGAGCGCCTTTCAAGTGCTTGCGACACCTGGCAAATCAAGAGTCGCGCCGCGCCGTCTGGGCATCTCCGCTGTGAGTAGTAAGGGCGGACAACGGGCAATCAAATGCACCGCGAGACAACCGCGGTTCTTTGCCGCGGCGATAGGTAGCGTCCAGCTGGAGAGAAACTTGGTAGACCCCCCAACGCCCATTGCATCCATTTCCAAGGTAAGTATCTACATGGGCTTCAGACCGTAAGTACCCCGAGGTATTTCATCATTTTCTCGAATTGATCTTTGCCGCGCACTCCGCGCTGAGACCGGCATCCACCAAACCGAAACCCATCTGAACCTCACGCCCAATGAAAACCTGACCTCCAGCGTCGGTTGTAGCAAAGATAGGAAAGGTAAAGGAGCTGACTCCGGACTGGGTCGTAGGCCCCCGTTGGCAAACGTCATGCAGAGCATCGTCTGCTTCGAGGGGAACTGCTTGGAAACCGCTGAAGCCTGCTCGTCGCTCGCTTGCGCCCTCGCTCGTCGGGCTCGCTCGCGCAGTCTCGAGCCCGGCGCCCCATCGTCTCGCGTCGGGCGCGCTTCGGGCGGCTCATCAGTACACTTCTGGCCCACCGCCTCGGTCGGGCATCTCACGACCGGTCCCCATCGACGTTTTCCCTCTCGGGGGCCTCTGGGCTTTCCTTTGCGGCTTGTTGATAGGAAAATCCTCGCCCAAGCTTCCGTTCGCGCAAGTGCTGTCGTGCCTGACAGTAGTTAGCATAGATGGCGATGGCCCCATCTTCTTCCAGAGCCACATCGTCGGGCAAACCTCCAGCTACGAGGAGCACCTCGCCATCACCATGTACTTGATGGCCTCGGTCATGATCTCCTCTTCCCCATGGGCCTCGGGCAAAGTAAACGATGACCTTGCGTGAGAATCCAATGGGCTTCGTCGCGAACTGACCCAGGTCCTCGCAGCCGTCGCCATATCCATGATACCCGGCAAAATGCGAGGAGGAACTCATGCCATGGATGCGATGGCCTCCTTTGCCAGTAGGTAGAATTCGCTTAAGCTCGCGAAGGTTTTCGCGCGCCAAATCAAAATCGCAGGATCCTTCTGTCCAGTGCTCAACCGCATCCCAAGCAGCTTCATTAAGCTTGGATTCTCTCAGAAGCATGTACCCTGTCGAGTCCGCCAGCAGGATCATGCACTTCTCGAGTTTTCGGAAGAGCACGCGCTTACGCGCGATATCGTTGACCCAAGACTCCTCTCGCTTACGCCTGGTGTCTTCTGAATAGACAAGCGTCTCCAAAAGCCTTCGGCACCCTGTGGTCTTGGCACTCGGCAAAAGCCTTCTGGATGTGTTTCATCGCAACCTGCCCGCCGTCCTCGGCAGACGGCTTCTCCTGAGTGAGTTCGTTAATAATGATATTCAGGTCGTCCTTGGCATAACGGCAGATCAGACATCCACGTTGTGCCTTCAAAGTTCTGGTAGTAGCGAGCCACATTTGCAGATCCTTCACGTAGGGGTCGAGGCGAATACCCGGACCTTTTCCATCCCAAGAAGGAGGTAGGTCGTCGGATATTTTTGGGGCGTCCGATTGTTCAGGAAATTGCTCCTTTTGATGATCGGAAGATAGGGCAGTGGTACCTCCCCAATAGGTAAGAGAAACGGGTAGAAAGGGATAGCCTGTTCTCGCAGAGGCGTGTTCTGCCGATCTGGTGCAGCCGGCGAGCCGCGCCCCGCCCAGTCCAACCTGATGAGGATTGCTGCGCATTGGGGCGCGTCGCCGTCCATGGCTGTGATAACCAGCGGGACCAGGCCTCATCTGACCAGCCCACATCGCCACCACCTTCCCAAGGAACGTCTTGTCGTCCTCCGGTTCCTGCCCAAGGATCCTGATCTGGTGGTAACCAACGATCTGCTGGAAATTCATCCTCTTGAAGCTGAGCGTCGTCTGGAGAATCCATGGCGGCGCTCGGTGCAGTGTGGTAGCGGCACGGAAGAATGGGAGAATAGGAACAGGTATGTCACCCGAGAAACGAATGACAAGGGAGTCGTTCTGACTCCCCTCGTGGATGTCAACCACAGGCTCCGCTGCCACTGTGAATTGTACGGGTGTGGCTGTATAGATACAGGAAGACACGAAGTACAAATAGGGGGCCCGTACTAGACGAGAGCACATTCTCTTTCCTTTTACGGAAGCGTGGGCGCGGCCGTCACCAGAACGCCATGATAGCTCAAGGGCCCTTGTGAGCCGACATGGCGGCGAACAACGGAGTACAGAGAGAGGCGCAGGCGGGAGAGAGGTTGACAGGGGCTCTGCAACCAATGAGGAGGAGCAGCAGGAGGAGGAGGAGGATGAGGAGGAGGAGGAGGAGGAGGGGGGAGGAGGAGGAGGAGGAGGAGGAGGAGGAGGAGGAGGAGGAGGAGGAGGAGGAGGAGGAGGGAGGGAGGAGGAGGAGGAGGACGGGGAGGAGGAGGAGGACGGGGAGGAGGACGAGGAGGACAAGGAGGAGGAGTAAGAGGAGGAGGACGAAAAGTGTAGAGGATCAGGGATCGAGGGTCGAGGATCGAGGAGGAGGAGGACGAGGAGGAGGAGGCGGAGGAGGATAATGAGGGAGGCAGAGAATGAGGAGGAGGAGGAGGAGGAGGCGTATAACTGGGGAGGAGGAGGAAGAGGAGGAAGAGGAGGAGGAAAAGGCGGAAAAGGAGGAGGAGGAGAAGGAGGAAAGGGAAGGGGAACGGCTAGGAACTTTTTGGCCATGCCCGAATGGCCGTGCTACATCCAACGACACACACACACACGCACCCCTGGGCAGGCAACAAAGCCCCTGCAGGAGGAGTGAGAGAAGGAGGAGGAAGATGAGGAGGAGGAGGAGGAAGAGGAGGAGGAGGAGGAGGAGGAAGTGGAGCAGGAAGACAAGAAAGAGGAGGAATAAACAAATGAGGAGGAGGAGGAGGAGGAGAAGGAGGAGGAGGAGGAGGAAGGGTAGGAGGAGGAGGAGGGCGTCGGGGGACGAGGAGGCCAGGAAGGAGGGGGAGGAGGAGGGCGGCGAGGCGGGGGGCGGGTGAGCGGCAGCACGAGGAAGGGGGACAAGGAGGCTGTGGAGCCTCGGGGCAGCCCGGCCGGCCGCGGGAGGAAGGCTGAGAGCTCGGTCTCGTCGCCCCGCGGGTGTCGGGGGCGTCCAAGAGGGAGGGGGGGCGTCCAAGAGGGTGGGGCGCAAATCATGGCTGGCGGCACGTGCGCGGCTCAGGGGGGGGGGACGTATTGAAATCCCGCCAGCCCTCTGGGCGACAGGCGGTCTAACGATGTCTTTCTTTCCCTCCCACAACCCCTTCTTCCCCCGGGGAGGGGTGTACCGCTCCCCCTACTCTCCCCTGGACCTGGCCGGGGGTTCCGCGAGCGGTCAGAGGGTCCATTTTGGCCCAAGATGGCTCCAATAGGGCCTTAGAGAGCCCAAGATGGCCTCCAAGATCGCTCAAGATCGCCCAACATGGCTCAAGATAGCTAACAACATGCCTCCAAGAGGCCCCAAGAAAGCCACAAGACGGATCCAAGTGCTTTTGGCACCCCTGAGGACCTCCCCGAGAAGCCACAATTCTTCGAATCTGTTGGGGAAATCCATGATTTTGGCCTTCTCGCCTTTTCGCTTCCGATGCGTTTTTGAGGCCTCAAGATTGCCACAAGATGGCCCAAGAGCTCCTAGAGGGGCCCAAGAGGCCCCCAAGATGGCCCCAAGAGCACCCAATATCGCCCCCAGAGGGCCCCAAGAGCGCCCCAAGAGGCTATTTTGATGGCCCTGGAGGGGGGAAGTAAATTTTGATCGATGGCCTCCAAGACGGCCCCAGGAGGCCCTCCGAAGCTCCCAGGAGAGCCCCAAGGGAGCCCCAAGAGGGCCCCAAAGAGCCCAAAGAGGGCCCCAAGACGCCCCAAAAGAGCCCCAAGAGGACCCCAAGACGCCCCCCAAAAGCTCCATAGCTCTAAGAAGGCCTCCGATGCTCCAAGATTGCCTCCAACATGGCTCAACACGTTCCTCCCCCTCCTCCCTTTGACCGCTCTATTTCACTATATGCGTCTCTGATTTCCATTTCCCTTTCCCGTCAGCTCTCGTGGGCAGGGCTTCTGAATGGGCTGGCGGGGAGTCGCGAAGCGTCAACAGTAAGAAGAGACGCCACGAAATCTGGGGAGGTATCATGGTCCCCGCCATGATATCCCCCCCCCAAAAGTCATCGCACCCCTCTTGGCCGCCTCCGAGGGTTGTCGGGGCGAGGCGCCATGGCCGCCATGGCCGGGGCGCCGCGAGGGCCGAAGAGGGCGCCGCGGCCGCTTCGTGTTGGAGGGCCGTAGGACCACCCGCACAGGGACCGCCCCTACAGAAGCGCCTGAGGAATGAATCGGACAGGACAAGCCCAGACCCTTCCGGGCTCACAAAGAAAGCACGACACGAAGCTTCTCGCTATCTTCGGCCTCTGGGAGCCTTCGCTGGGCCTCGGGATCGTCCAAAAACGATTCGGGATGAACAACTGGTCCCGAGGGATGGGTCGAGACCCCTGAGGGACAGGGGTCGACGTTGTGATAAAATCATGACGTCGGGGGTCTGGGATAACTATGATGGGTATCACCTTGTGTCGATGCCGATCTTAGGAGTTACCGCAGTTTCAGAGGTCGAATCCCCGAGATTGACATCACAATTTGGCCCATCAATCGTAGGGATAGGGAAAAGTTCGAGGCTGGTTGGATACTGCTGCCCCGCCGCCCTCCCGCGTCGCGATCCGCTCTCCCCGAGGGAGCCGAATCTGGCGGGCCGCAGGCAGCCTACAACTACTCTTACAGAGCAGCCGAAGGGGGCTACTCAGCAAGCGTGCGAGACCGCGTAGCAGGGGCCGACCTGTGGGGGGCGAGGTGGTGCTTCCTCCCTCGGCCGGGAGCGAGGGCGACTGCCCGCGTGGACGGGGGGGCGAGCGAGCGACCGAGCGCCGGAGACCGCGAGCCCGCCCGCGCCCGTGCCCAAGAAACCCCCAAAAAGGCTCCCAAGAGGCCTCCAAGAGGCCAGCAAGAGGCCCCCGAGAGGCCCGAAAAGGCTCCCAAGAGTCATCCAGTAGGGGCACACCCGCGAGGCCCCCGAGAGGACCTCTGACCCACAACGCAGTCACGAGGTATCGACGACCGCTGGGATCCATATTGCCCAAGTGGTACCACTTGGGTAGCCTTTGAATCATCTAGCTTGCACCCAAAGAAGGAAGCACCCCAATAAGCTTCCGAGGGACACCCCGAGAAACCTCGACAGGCTTCCAAGCCACCTCCGACCCAGTACTTAAGCACGGTGGCGGCATTTGCCAAACGCCGCTAGTCCGCCGCCCCCTGCTTGCAGGGGTGCACAGCGTGCTGGACGAGCTGTTAGGTTTTGGTTTTGGTTCTTTTTCCAAAAGAACTCCCCAGTGGGCTCCGGCAGAACCCGCCGGCCACCCGGAAGGGTGCTCAACGACCGGAAAAAATCCTCCAAAAACGGCCGTTTCGCTCGGGACATCCTCAAAAAATCGCGAAGATGGCCCAAGATGGCCTCCAAGTCCGCCCGAGATGGTCCAAGACGGCCTCCAAAACGGCCCAAGAGAGTCCAAGACGGCCCAAGACGGCCCAAGAGGCCCCCCAGAGGCCTCCCAGACGGCCCAAGAGGCCTCCAAGAGGTCCTCCAGGAGAGTCCGAAGAGGCCAAAATCATTGATTTTCCATTGGTTTTTGAAGGATTTTGGCATTTGCGCCTTTTCGGCTCTCCGACGGCTCAAGACGGCCCAAGAAGCCCCCAAGATCGCCCAAGAGGCCCCCAAGAGAGCCCCCTGATGGCCCAAGTGGCCTCCAAGATGGCCCCTAGAGGGCCCCAAGACGGCCCAAGAGGCCTCCAACACGCCCAAGATGGCCTCCAAGACGCCCAAGATGGCCTCCAAGACGGCCCTGGAGCGCCCCAAGAGGGTCCCCCGTTGGCCCAGAAAGGCCCCCAAAACGGCTCCCGACGGCGTCAGACGTGCCAGGAACCCACCAAGATGGCCGAAGTTGGCTCGAAGCTGGCCCAAAAGGGCCCAAGAGGCCCCCAAGAGGGCCTCCAGGAAGGCCAAAAGATGCCAAAATCAATGATTTTCCCAAGGTTTTTGATGGATTTGGGCATTTCCCTTTTTTCGGCCTTCCGACGGCCCGAGACGGCCCAAGAGCCCCCAAAGATCGCCGAAAGATTGCCCAAGAGGCCTCCAAGACGGCGACGATAACCATCAACACGCCCACGTGTTCCCCGAAGGCTTTCCAAACCGATTCGGGGAACACATGGTCCGATGGCTTGGCAGGTCTGGCCTCAACGTTCGGCCACATACGCGCCTCCACAAAGGCAGGGGGCGGCGGTGATTCGCCGTAGGCGTCTTCGATTCCGCCGCTCCCTGTTGCATGCACGAGGGGTGCCTGGCGTGCTAGATGATTTCGGTTTTGGATTTGGTTCTTCTCCAAAATAACTCCCCCTGGGGCTCCGGCGCGTCCCGCCGGCCACCCGGAAAAACCCCAATCCGGAAAACAATCCTCCAAGACAGCTCAAGATGGCCTCCAAGATGCCCACGTTGGCCCAAGAAGGCCTCCAAGATGGTCCAAGATGGCCTCCAAGTCCGCCCAAGATGGTCTAACACGGCCTCCAAGACGGCCCAAGAAAGTCCAAGATACCTCCAAGTTCGCCCAAGAAGCCCCCAAGACGGCCCGACACGACCCAAAAGGCCTCCAAGAGGTCCTCCAGGAGGGCCCAAAGAGGCCAAACTTATTGGTCGTCCCTGGGTTTTTGAAGGATTTTGGCATTTGCTTCGTCTAGGCATTCCGACGGCTCAAGACGGCCCAGGAGGCCCTCAAGATCGCCCACGAGGCCTCCAAGATGGCCCAATGATGGCCCAACAGGCCCCTAAGACTGCCCCAGGAGGGCCTTTAGACGGCCCAAGAGGCTTTTAAGACGCCCAAGATGGCCTCCAAGACGGCTCTGGAACACCCCAAAAGGCCTCCAGTCGGCCCAGAGAGGCCCCAAAAATGCACCCAAGACGGCCCAAGTGAAAATACAGATCACAATATCCCTCCCGCCAAGCAATTGATGCAAGCACGAGATAAGAGAAATAACATCCATTCATCTCCGTACTCAAAGCAAAACGCCAGTAGGTGCGTACACCCTCCCACCCAGCTTGTGAGCCACAACGCCCACGGCCGAGAGGGGCACTGCGCAAAGCACGAGCGAGCGAGAGCAGCAATGGCAAATATAACTATCACTCTTACTCTAAATCTCACATCCTTGCCTACATGATTTTCACACAGGGAAAAAACGTAAGTAAAGAATGCGTAGCAAATTCTGAAGCAAACATCCAGAATATGCATGAATATGCTTGCCGGCTCGACCGGCCAAAAGCCGCCCGTATACCGAGCAACAGATATCAAGATATCGAATCAAATCTCGGTGCAGACATCATCCCTTCCCTTGAGAGGGTGCAAGCATCATCTCTTCACTTGAGAGGGTGCGCGCACAATCTCCTCAACCACCCAACGTAAACACAGAGTTGGTAGCGAATATCAGTACAATCTTTTCCACCACCCAACGTGAACACAATGTTGGTGGCGAATCTCAATACAATCTCGCCCACTCAACGTCAACACAAAGTTGGTAGTGAATATCAGCGTGCCTGGGCTGATTTGATGATGCTGTAGGCTATGTAGGTCTTGATGCTCGGATCAAGGTTGTAGCCCCTGCTCTCGTCTGCGTCCAGCTTCAGACAGCGGCCCAAGCAATCGACGTAGTGCTTGTCCGTGCTGTATATGTCTGCGAAGCTGTTGCCCCCGTGCTGGCCACTCTTGATGCGCATCGGTCCCAATGTAGCCAACCACTGCCTCAGGAGAGCACTATCCCCCCGGTGGATATGCCCATCCCCTGTGTCTCGTCAGGGTACGTCTCCACCTCGGGCTCAGCCTTCAGGCGTAGTGTAGATGTCTTGAGTTTTGCCTGCTTGATGGGCACCTCCGCCCTGGAAAGGTTGTCGCTGCTTGAACTATCCATCCCCATCGGTGCCATGCCGAAGTCCTCGCCGTCGCCCTGCTTAGGCTGCATCCTGTAGAAAAGACACGATAATTACCGCGATGCTAGAGACGAACGTCACCACCGTAGGAGACATCGAAAGACAAATCCAAACACTGCGAGTGCACAGAACTGAAGCAGAACTGCAACTTAGCCAGGTATCTGGATGGTTCGCTGCGAGCCACTCCTGTCCATTGGGTAGTTGCCCGTCGCGTCGTCCACGTAGAATGCTTCGACGTACTCGGTCTCGTCATAAGTCTCGTCCTTGTCGTCGGAGAAGCACTCGTCCACCTAGTTGTGCGTCTCCACCGGCCAGGTAGATATCTCATCGTTCCCGTTCCCATCAGCGTCGTCGTACAGCTCCTGCTTGACGTACTTAGCCATCTTCGCGTTCAGGTCGTCTACCGCGTAGCCTCCTGGAAACGCCTTCGTCAAACAGTCCGCTAGCATCTGCTCGCTCTTGACCCGCTTGATGCTGACCTCCTCTAGTGACTGACGTCGTATAGCCGCCTCCAAAAAGCCTTCTACCCGTCATAGATACCTTCTGCTTCGCGATCGCGTCATACAGGCTCTTGCGATCGGTCACCGAAATACATGTCACCGGGCAGGTGTCATGCACGATCTCGGCCGCATCCATCTCTGGGTATAGGATATCCGCTAAGGTTGGCCTCGTCCAAATCAACATATCCACCGAATCTGCGCACGAGTACGCCTCCGCCGATAGAGTAAGTAAATCGTACCACTCGTTGGATCTTTGAAGACTGCCACCCAATGCAATGCACCTTGTACTTGTTGCCGTGGTCCTCATCGATCTTCTCGTCACCTCGCATGATCAAATGTACTCGTTGCGATCTGTGCCTCGGGAGGTTGTCGAAAGCGCTGTCCGTCACGTTGGTCACCATGGTCTTCCACAGGTTCAGGCTAGCTGTGAACTTGATCAGTAAGTCGTCCCGCTTCTGGATTCCCCTGATAGCTGCACCCCCGCCCTGTAGGCCCTTCGCCGTCGGAGCTCCCAGCGTCGATGCCAATCGGGATGCCTCGAAGGCCTCTTCGGAGCAAATCATTCGCGCAGCCCACTGCAGTTGTCCAACCACCATTCGTAGTCCTTGATGTTCTGCAAGGGCAAGTGCACTGTGAGGTGCCTTGCTGCGCTCCCTGGAGACACGTAGAGTCTACATAGGTAGGCCCCCATGGTGACGTTGATGCTGCCGTCCTTGTCCTGCCGATAAGCCCGGCCACAGAACGTCGCCGTCTCCTTCCTCGCGTACTTGACCTCGCCAAAATCGATCTCCTTCTGAGGGTCCTTCATGATCTTGGCGCCCTCAGGGTCGTCCTCCTTGATGCCCATGAGGAAGCCATCCACGTGTAGACAAATGATCCCAATGATCGTGTTCTCCGCGTTGCGCTTGATGAAAGCCGCGGGCTTGAAGCTCAGGCCTTCCCACCCGAGCTTCACGAGCGCCTCGAGCAGCACCACGTGTCGAGCTCTCGCCGCATCGTTGGCCCCGTAGATGCTCTTGTTAAGCTTAAGCAGGTCACCTGCCCTAACGCCTGGGATGGTGCACTTCCCAAGGTTCGTTGGGGTCCGAAAATAAAGCTCGCGCGTGATCGCCTGGCCTTGTAGAAAGGCCCCCTTCACGTCTGCAACGACTAGGTCCAAGTTGAGGCTCGATGCGATGCTGCGCAGAAGTAGCGCCATCTGTGCGGAGACTCTCGGAGAGCCTCGACGTAGCTCGTCGTCGAACTTATCCCCGTAGCCCCGTCCGCATATTCTCGCTTTCGGCTCAAAGGTCACAGGGTCCTTGTCCGCCCAGACCACTTTGGAGCTTAGGATCTGGTCCTGATCTATCTTCTCAACCGCTGCTCCTGATATGTGGGTTTCTGCATCGTACTTGCACCAAGTATTCCACCCCTTCTCCACTGCACCCTGCATCTTCTTCCACTTGAGCTCGTCGTCGCCTAGCGTCTTCAAGTTGATCTCCTGCTTCTTGTTAGCCCTCGTCGGCTGGGTGCACATCCGCTCGGCCACGAATGCTTCAACCAGGAGTAGTGTATTCGCCAGCTGTTTGACTGGCCCCGCTTGCCCCTTCGCACGCTTGATGCTGATGGGTACATCGTCCAACAGGAACACCTTGAGCGTCACGGGATGTTCCTGGCGCTTGCTGCCCTGATGCTGCTCCGGCTGCCTTGTGCTCGATATTGTCGCCCCTAGTTGATATTCCGCTGCTGGCGTCGGTGCTGCTGCCGTCTCCTCTGCCTTCTTGCGTTCCTCCATATGCCTCTGGATACTGGTAGATACGTGGAGCTGCGCTCGGTCGTCGTGAGCATCGTCCTTCTTGGTCTGCTTGAACTTCATGTCCTTCTTGACAGAATTATTCTTACCACCGCGTTTCACCTCCTTTGGCTGCTCTGGCTCCTCCATGATCTCGTCGGTGTCGCCGCCGCTTGGAGGTCAGTTCCTTCTTCCTTCATTGATGTGATCTCATCGATGACCGCGATCGGTTGCTGTGCCAGCACCTCGTCGATGATCTGAGGGTTAGCTAGCCAGTCCACCCTCGAGATGTCCTGAACCAGGTCGCGCGTGTCCGAATTAAACGGCCGCCTCCTCTCGATCTGATGCCCTGGAGCCGGTTCGGGTAGTAGAGGTGCTTTCCTGATGTTGTCCAGCTGCATCAGGTCGGTCTTGCCCTTGCTGCTGGATGCCACTGCTCCCAGGATGGTATCCCAGGCTTGGTGTGCTCGACGTAGTCGCGCTCGTAGGCCCTCCTCTGCTTGATCTTGATCAGCTGGTACTTGTTTGTACGCATCGCCCAGCCTCTGCCGCATCGGCATAACGTCATTGTCGCGCACCACATCCGATCGTCTCTCTCTGCTGTCCGACTGCTTCGGATGACCCACACCTCCTTGAGCTGGCGCTGCTCCTGGTGTGTCTGGTTGTCCTTGCACTGGCTGCTGCTGTGGAGCTTCTTGCTGTCCCGGTAACTGCCAATGATGCGACGGCTGCCGTTCTGGAGGCTGTTGGTATGGATGTTGATCTGGTTGTTAATCAGGTGGTTGATCTGGCAGCTGAGCATCTCGTGCAGGACTATATTGCTCTCCCCGAAGGTCTACAAAGCCTCTCTGTCCAACTCGCGATCGGGCTGGCCCGCCCTCTGAGAACAAGTCGGTGAAGTGCATGGTCGCCACCTCGTGCTCAGTCGCTTTTCGTAGTGAACATGGTGAGCTCAGAATCGGGGTCCGATTGCGAATCGGCCAGTAGCCGTGCTCGTCCTTGCCCAGGCACTGCGCAGGTCCATGCCATCGAGCATGTAGGTTTCCCTTGAGATTGTCCGATCGCCAGAACATCAGCGGATCACCTTGCTGGAAGGGCCCTGGCTGGGGCCTTGTCTTTTCCAGAACTGTCCGCCTCAACGCACATGGGTTCGCTGCCTTGAAGAAGGCATCCGAGCATATCTGCTGAAGGTGTAGTCGATTCCAGAGCGATGTCCTTTCAGCTACCCTGGTAACTACTGCTGGGTCATTGTCGGGAGTCGCCAAAGTCGCAGGTAGTCGATGTCCAGCTCCCAGTTCCCACTGCTGCGGTGAAAAGCCAGCTGTGCTACCTAGTTGGTTGCACGAGCTGGCCATGCCTCGTACTGCGGCTGCAACTGAATCCTGACCACGAATTTCTCGAGCATTGAAGACACTCGTCGCCATCTCCTGTAGGTAGCGCATGTTCCTCTCGACCTTGCCCATCTGCCAGTGAGCTTATGGTGCAGCGTTGTTGGTCACCAGGCCTAGGTCGTTGCGCAGTGTCTCGAACTCGCCCATGAAGGTAGAGTCCTGGCCCTGCTCAACCACAGTAGGTGGTCCAACCCAGATCAGCCATCCAAGCTCGAAAGCCTTCTTAGCCAGCTCTGCCGTCGGGCTTGATCCAGGAAGCGTGTAGATGGCCACTGTAAGGTCCGATGCAATATCCACGACCACCAGCACCACGTGCAGATAATTGTCCATGCCAGGTATGATCACGAAATCCATGCCAATGGCCCCGTTAAAGTCTCTGACCTTGGGCTGAGCTGCTGTAGGTCTTGCTGCCGCCCGAGCCTGCTCCTCACGCGTTGTGCATCTGAA